TTACCATTGTTATAGAATATTTTTTCAAAATTTGTAAATTATTTTGCGCCTCTCTATAACTGTTACATTTATATAAATGTTTTTTTGCCAGCACATTTTCGCAAACACTATTCGTTGAAGACTGTTTGAAAGTACCGTTACGTATTTCTATTTATATTACAAAATTCTTTATCTTTCGGATTATTTTATCATTCAGATGTTAAGGTTATCAAAGTTTATTCAGAAATCATATAAGTCGCAACAGCAATATAAGATAAAAGTGCCTTATTTGTGTAAGATATCTAAATTTATTTTATAAAAAATCTTAAAGATATCTTTTTCAATATTTACAGTACACGCAAATATATATATATCGATAAAATGCAAAAAATATTTTAAAATATGTTGCTCTATTAATAAAGTGCATAGAGACAAAAGATCTGTTCTTTATAGCTGAACTGACTGCACTAGTTCAGAGTTTATCTTTCTCCTTCCAATATGGAGAGAAAAAGATAAACTTTGAACTAGTGTAGCCAGTTCAGCTATAAAGAACAGATCTAAAATAATATTCATATATTTACTAAACATCTACATCGACCGAATATAACGGAAAAAATCTTTATTTTAATTTGTTAATAAAATAGAGCTCTAAGTTTATTTTAGATTTAATTTTATGTTAAAAAAGATTTTAGTTTAATTTTAAAATGATGTTGGCTGTGTTTTAGTTCCGGAATATTTAACACTTGTTGCAACGACAATAAACTCAAAACTCCGCGCGCAATATTCTTTGTAGTAACGCATGCGCAGTACTATTGAATGTCATTGACATTTACGTCTTGACAGATGACAGAAGAGAGAAAATTTTTATTTACACATTAATGATTCTTAATTACGATTCATTATTTTATTTATCTCAGGCAATATGTCAGAGTTGTTAAAATATGTCTTATATTTTTCAATCCAATAACAAGCTATTTAAACACATGCTTACATTTCATAACCTATAATAGACAGAGTATATACATATTTTTATTTCATTATTAACAAAATGTCATCTTCCCACACGGCAGAATTAACTGAACAATTGGTTAACGATTATGCAAGTTACACAAAAGTGGACTGGGACGATGAGGCGAGTGTGCCATTTAGTGTTAATATTTTTATATCATACTGTTTGAAAAACGTTAAATAAATAATCGTTTTTGAATTTCAGATGAAAAACTTCCGGGATATCATAGAAGATACACTAATACGATTAGAAGAGTTTCAGTCAATCGTTACGATGGTTAGCAAAAATCCAAAATACAATAGAATACAAATAACTTAGTATTGTACTTTGTATTTTAAACATTATTATATTTTTTATTGTATTTAGGTGGAGAGTTGCAATGCTGAGTGCATGCAACAGCATCTTCCAAAGTTGCAGCATATGAAAGAAGGTATGACAAGCATTCGTAAAAGGATAGATGCATTGGAGCATGTTGTCGCAATGGCCAATATGAATTTAAATACGTTAGAAGCTGCTGTAGACAAAGCAGAAACTGAGCTAGGTGTATCTGATAGATTATTTGGGATGCTAAACCCCTTATCATTTTTTGTAAGTATAATTTATAGCATACATTTACTATGTAATTAATAATATAATTTAATATAATTTATGGCATACACGTTAACTAATTGAATAATTTAGTTTAAATTTTTAATAGTTCTTACATGTAATATTTGTCTTTAAGTGACAAATTTTATTATGATTTTTCTTCAACTTTTTAGAAGAAAACTCAAGAACCTGTTGTATCAAATACAGTGCCAACATACAAGTCGCCAATAATATATAAGTCAGATGATTATTTTCGAAGAGAATAAAGTATGTGATGAAGAGGCTTAGATTATAACATACTTGTTACTAGATTAAATTTAAACGAATATGTAGAAACTTATGTGGTTTGACAGTAGTATGAAAAAAATTTGGATATTAGATATAACTGATAGATTTTTACTTATAAAATTTTTTTCTTTTTTATTAGCAATGCAGTGATCACCTATACAATGATAATACTTGCTGCTATATATTTTGTGTACATTCTAAAATTCCAAAATATAAAAATCTAATTCTTTTAAATCTTCTAAAATTTAGTCCTAAATTGTTTTGTGTACTGTGTGTTCTGTAAAATAGAACATAAAATTAGATATAATTAGCAGTTTCTAGAGATAACACATTTGTTTTTACTAATAATATTACTATTGTTCTTAAAGTTACACAGTCGATGCAAAATATCCTAACATGCTGCAGAAGTACAGGTTTTTAACTGAGCTTTCTTTTCTCCCAAGGAACAACTTCCACCTATGCAGTGTCTCCATCGCATAATCTTCCCTATTCCACAAGTGACACTGCATGTGGACCAGTTGCCCCATTGATCCCATATTTTCGGTTCTCTATCATTTCTCCCTGCCAAAATAAGATTACACTAATTATGATTATAACCTTCACCTTTCCAAATTAAGTTTTAATCACTGAAAATCAAGATTAATCAAATATCTTTTAAACTCAGTATGTATATATACATGTATTATGTAATTTTATTTAAAATAATTGTAATACGATCAAAAAGAGCTCTCGATATTGCTTAAAAACGAAAATATTGCCACAGCCTATGGAAGATTCCATTTGCAGCTGAGCAGCCTATGGAAGTTTCCATTTCCAGTTCAAATGTACACGTGGTGATAACTTTCACCTGTTAGCTCTCCAATAGGGTGGGGTATTTCATGAAAAAAGATATTTCACGAAACGTCCTATGGAAATTTCCATCCACTATACTCAAATTTTACATCATGCTTACCTTTCACCGATTATTCAATCTGGATCAAATTAAATTTTTGCAGTTAATTAAGATTAATGAAATGCTGGCTTTTTTGTTACAAGTGTTATATGATAAAAAGATAAGCCACAGTCGAAAAGTTTTCAGTAAACATCAAAAGTTTAATTGCAGGAATTTTTGATTTTAAAAAATATTTTAGTTGAGCAGCGTATGGAAATTTTCATTGACCCAATTATTATGTCATTTGCTCGTTATTCAATATAATTATATCAAATTTTAACGATCACAGGCCAAGATTAATAAAGCATTGCTTAATTTGATATTTGTAAGACGATAAAATGAAAGAAAATAAATTGTACGAATTCCGAATGAAAAACATACGCTGCTAATATCATAAGGGTTTCAATGCATGGTACACAGATTTTGCATTAGAGAAGAAAAGCATTGCAGCCGGGCATTCCGTGGAAGTTTCCATCCACGCATTGCCCAAACGCTGTTCATGTACATCTTGATGATCAGCATTGCGAAAAGGTAAATCTTGAACCGGTCCCGGAGAAAGCCACGATCGCCGACTACAACTCGTGCGCCCACTCTTATTTATTTATTTATCGTCCTTTCGTGCAGCTGTATATCCAGCTTAATCGCGTCCAGTTACTCTACCTACTATCGCGTATAAATTCCTTTCACTTTGGCTAGTTATCCACTATTTCTCCACTACATTAGACTGACTTCACATTTGAGATAATCAAATATTAATTTTATAAACTATTAAAATATTAAAATATAATAAACGCATTGTTGCGTGCAATCAGTATTGTAATTGAGAGTGAAAAGTAGATTATTTTTCTATATCTGTTTGTTAATTATAATAAATATACATAAATTTTAAATATAAAACTTTTGTTGATAGTGACGATAGATTTCAGTAATATACGTTTTTCACACACACACACACATTACAACCCCTTATATTTAATTACATATATCAGAACAATTTTATTGTAAATTGTTTGATAAATATTTTATATATGTAGAAAAATCCTATAGCGCGTTTACCTGCTCGTTTTATTTCATAAGGTCGAATGTCCTCTTCACGATTGCTGTCGTCGTTGTGCTCTATATTAGAACTTTTGCGCCGAAGTCTTTTCAAATTCACCCTCAATGTGTTATTGATATTACTTTCTGCAAGTTTAGGAATTATATTTGATGCTTCATTAATTTCCAGAGCCGCTTCTTTATATGCTAAAATTGAAATATTATTTCACATAAAAGAATAACAATCGTCCATGATTTGGGTTAAATATCTTACCCATGAAAAACAAGAATATAACAACATGAGCAGATACTAAGCGAATTCTATTCATTGATATATACTTTTCGAGTTATAGTATAGTTTTAAAGCATACAAAATAATCACGTTGAAGTTGTTCCATATCATTATTATAATTCAATTAATTGTATTGTATATAAAATAATCCGAAGTTTTCCATAAAACAAATATGTTATGTTCCTATATACACCGTAGTTGTAAAAAAGCTATTAAAGGAAATATTTCTATCATTTATTTAAATCAGTATTCAGTTTACGCAATGTTTAGTTTTATCAAATATTGTATACTTTGTACTTTTTTCGAATCAGAATTATTATACGTCTAAAATAAATAATAGAATTTATTTATATTGCAATTTGTGAAGTAAAAACTTTTGTTTGCACATTTTCGAGATCATTACATCAGAGATCATAATTTTGTATCAGTGAATTTGTCGATTATATTCATAAGTTAGATAGATTAAGGTTTTATTCCAAGCCAGCCGAGGAAACCTTTGGTATCGCAATCTTTGAGGCGGCAACTTTTCAACTGCGCTTTCTTGAGACCTTTAATGCAGTTTTCAGACAAGCAATGACGCCATCGAACTTGCTGTCCTTGCCCGCAAGTTACGCTGCACGCACTCCAATCACTCCAATTGTCCCATGTCTCCAAAACTATAGTGGGAGATGAAAGAATAGAATTTTACACATTTAATATTATATTTATTTAGATTTTATGCAAACGTTGCAAAAATTGATTGTTCAACTTGTGAATTTATGAATCCGAAAGAGAAATGAGAGATTTATCTTACAAATCCGTACTATTCTTTAATCCTTTATACTTAATATTTTTAACATATATTTTAATTAATATTTGTCTATTATTTTAATTTTACAAAAAGTGATACTCGTTTTTAATCTTTTTATTCGACTGTCATGCAAATATTTTAAAATTTATTCTTCAAAGATCAAATATTCAATTCGCAAAAATGATAGAAAATACCTTTTTCTATATAATAATTTAGCAATTTTCTGTTTCTTTTTTTCAATTGAGTAATATAGTCTTATTATTTATACCTTCATCGTTCAGTTGCGTATCTTTTGCAATGATATTGCGCTTCCTTCTCATTAATATCGTTGTTCCCATAATATCTCGATACATCTTGTTAGGTTTATGATATTTCGTGGAACAGTCACAAAAATTCTCGTAGTCAAGCAACTTTCGCCGATGCATTCTACTAGTGTCCGTGTGAAAGTGTGGATACGGAAATCTTCTTGCATTTTTGCAATAAAGCCGCAATTTTATCTCATCAGTTTTCATCTAATACGCAACATTAGTGTAAAAAATCCTTTTACACATTTTTACCTTAAAACTAAAACTAACACTAAAAGCGCTTAAGTTTCCGATTTCTATTTCGCAAACCTGTGCAAGTTTATTTGCTATAAATCGCTGAATGAAGCCGTGACACGGTCGTAAGTAAATGTTCAAATAATGACTTTTTTCATTGCTGAAATACATCAAATAAATAAAGTTAATAAATACTGCGTTAAAATATATTTCTTTTATATAGCGTGACCAAAGAAATTAATTTTAGGTAATATGCAAATAGAGATACAGTTACACCTTGCAATTATCAATGAGGAAACAAAGATTTATAAGTTTTATTATAATAACGTTTTGCATATCGTGATATACAAAACGTGTATGTATAAATATTTTTTCAATAACATGTAACCTAATAATTTTACCTTTTGGATGTATTATTGAAATTATTAAGCGATGCAGTTGTATAATTTTTTGGCACTCTAAGCGCAAATGCCTTAACAGTAGAAAATTTTAATACTTCGTAAATTATGCATCCGAAATAAATATTGTATGTCAATATTAATATTAGTAACACTTGCATATCATGTTTTATATCGTATGCGGTTATGGAGACGTAGAAATATCGATAAAAAAATGTTAGCTAAATTCTCAGTATAAAATATTAATAACATTGAAACGTCTATAGATTTTTGGATTAAACATATTGTTCGTAGATTAATGAATACTTCTTATCCGTTTTTTTATAGCCAATAAATAAATAAAAATCAGAAAACAGCCAGATAAATATTGTCGCAAATGTGATAAATGTAGCTTTGTGAATAAAAAGACTCAAACTCTCAGTTTATTATATTTGTATTATAATCTAAAGTTCTTTTACCCTTGCAATACTATTTTTGAATTCTCTCTTTTTAATTAAAATAGCTTTGGTTCCTCTCATATTGTATTAAAGTTTAATTACTATTTTTTAAATTAGACAGTAATACAGCGGCTAGTATTGTTACACATATTGTAGTTATGTTTCGGCAATTTCTTAAAGATACATATTTTACTAACTAAACATTATCAAAATTTATATAAAATATTAATAACTTTAAGATGATAAACTAGTATAATAGCAGGAAGAGTACAAAATGTTACATTAGTTTCTACTTAAAAATATGGTATAAAAATTATAAATATTGATTCATAAATATTTTGCTAGTATATTAAGATATAATTAAATATTATATTAAATGTTGAATCATATACATTATTACACGTTTTATAAAAATCCCAAAATACGAATTTGCATGTACGTGTATAGTTATAATTAATCATATGTGTATGTTTGTGATAAAATTTACTATTTATCTATTTACTATTTATCTGCTTTATTTAACTTCACGAAGGATCATGCAGATGCAATATGATCTAACAATTCCCTTTATATATATCCTTAGATGATTTATAATTATCTAAAATTTATGATTTAATTTAATATATATATATGAATAAAATTTGTTTAAAATACGAAAATGTAACTATGTTTAGCTTACTCTATTTAAAGACGGAAAGCATAAATCTTACCAGCAAAGTATATATCTATAGAATATTAAAAATCTCAACTAATTATTGATAGTCGAATACTCAGATATTTGTATGTTTTGGATATGATAAATAAAAAAAGATAGTAGCTATAATATATAAAAAGTCGGTTCTGTGATTACTTACAGATTACGTATTATGTACATGTCATATCTACAAACTCTAAAATCGATAGGATTCCATAGGATTGTATTAATATCCTGAAAATATCAGACTATAGTCTGAAAAAGGCTTTGTGAGCTCGACCGTTCGGTATTTGACCTTGTTGCCTTAATCTGCGGACAGCTTCTCTCAGATGCTTAGGTTGTAATGGACCAGTTTCATTCTGAGAATCCATAACATCTAAAGCTGTAACGAATAAAATAATTTAGGATCAAATTTTAATATTCGAATTATATATTTTACAAAGGATCATATACCTTCTTCCACAATTTCGCCAACAAATACTTTGGCAATTCCTGACATAGCTATGACAACGTTTTGAGATACTGAACAGCCAGTTATAGTTTGCATAATCTAAACAATATATACATATTTTAAACATGAAATGTTATTTCAATTATAATGTTAAAAAATAAAATGCAATACCCTTTTTATGGCTGCTTTCGGAAATGCAGATCTTCTATACATTTCATATCTGTCTAATTGATCTTCTGTAAAGTTAGATACTAATACCCTATAAAAACAGAATTATTAAATGTATTCATGGCATTAATTACAAACTTAGATATCAGATACATACTGCATCTTCTCTCGTTCCTCTTCTTCTAGCTCTTTCTTGCTTTTTTCTTTACTTTCTCTCCTTTCTTTCGCACTGATTGGCTTTGCACGAGGTAATATGATATCATTACCAAATATATCTTCTGCAGTCTGTTCTTCTTCTCTTTTGATTTGGGCATTGGATTTAGACTTTACCGTTTGATCTTGATTTACCCGAACCTCTGTAATTGGACACATAGAATTTGATGCTATATTTTCATTCTCTTCCATATCCGACTGGGAGCTCATTGCATCTGATTCTACCTGTAATAATTAATCGATCTAAGATATATTTGTAACATACAAATTGCAAATTTTAATTTTTTGACAACATTTATACCTTAATCTGTGCGTTGTCAGTCTCCATAACTTCAATATCTTTTGGTCCTGAAATTTGTATAGAACTTTCTTTGTCATTTTTGTCTTCGATATCATTATGCTCACTTTCATCTCCAGAATCTTCCTTTCCAAAGATATTATCCATTATTTTTCTGATGAAAAAAAATATATCATAAATATAGATATTAAAACAGAATTTATTAAAGAAACATATATATCTACAAATGTAAACATAAATCATGTAATAAATAATTGATTAATCAACAATATTATACAGTGTTCTAGTTTTGTAAGCTATTAAATAAATTAATCACATAAAACAGCATAGGTTATGATTATATACATTGCTCATTATTAAAATAAAATAAATATAATTTAATATATAAACAGTACAAAAATATGACAATTTAATATTATATATCACAACAGTAAAATATAAATAATGTTTTATAAATTATTTGAAAAAAATGACAAAATTAACCACTTTATACATTTTTTAGGTTAGCAATGTTAGTAATATTCACATTAAAAATAATAAAAATATTATATATTAATACTAGACATTAAGTTTGGAAATTTACCAAAATAATAAAATAATCTTTCTATCATAAAAATTAAGAAAGTAAGAAATAATATCGTTTAATGGAAAAAACATTAACCCTGCATTAATTACACATCACAAACAACATAGAATACATTTATATAAGATGTTAGCTCGCTGCTTCGATTGTTCAGACATTTCGAGAGTGTACTTCGATAGATCTCGCACCATCTCGCACTGCACTCAGTCTGTACGCAGTTACACTCAGGCGTCGTGACGTTGCAGAGTCGTGATTCGAATCGTTCCGCATTTTCCGCTTATTAGTGTCCAGAAAAATCACTTGCATACAAAAAATCATCGAACACTCTTTATAAAGTGTTCGACCTGTCATAAGGTACATAACATATCATGTTCAATCGCTATCATTACGACTCGGTATCGGTGATCGGCTTTTGTATGCCCGAAGTCAATCGAATTCGTGTTCACATATTTCTTCAGATTAATCTTTCCCGAAACGCAATAGAAATGCAACAGCAACGCTAGGTATGTACATAGACCTTTGGCAGTTTGCTATTTTGACCATTAAAAATATTTATTAAATTATTTAAAATTTTTATTTGATTAAATAGTAGCTTTGTGCTTGTTTCAATTACTCCTTTTTATATAGCATGAAGTACAACATAAGTGACGCATATTGCAATAAAGTGTAAGAAGTAAACATGTCCAATCACTGCGATGTGATTGGCTCGCTGCTTCGACCATTTCGAGAATCGCAATATCGCATCTTGATAGTTTTCGATTCACAGGCAGTTTAGAACTAGTCGCGGCGATCGCAGAATCGTGTTCAAAAACCGCTCTGTATCTCTCGCGATTGTTACTGTTTAAAAGAATTACGCGCGAGAAATTATCATCCATGTTTCTCGTATTGTGTCCAAAATGTCTATCGTAGTGCGTCAGAAGCGTCATCGTAACGTATTAAGTGCCATTGTAATGTATCAAATATCACAACTGCCTGATATACTAATATGGCGACTTCGGCACATTGATCATCCATTCTTGTGTGTGCTCGGAATTGATCGAATCCTGTTCACACATTTCTCGCTTGAGTGCTAAGTATATATACGTTAGTTCTGTTGTTAATTAGCTGTGTCATTATGTTTTGCAATTTTATCATCAAAATAATTCATCAGAATTCTCGAATTGCCATTTGTATTTTAATAAGTAGATAAAACTAAACATATTCCTATGTCTTGAAACCGGTGCCTTTTTATCATCATATTTAACAATAATACTGTTTTATAATATTTTCTTATTTATTTCTTACATTGTCTTTGTCGCGCACGAATAACATTCTACTATTATATTCATAAAATATATCAAAAATTCGTATTTAATATATTAATATAATAAATGAAATTCTTATATATCATATAGCTAAATCCGAATCGATGCATGTCTGTTACTACGACATTATTAACAATCAAAGTTCTCTAATTATTCTTGGACTTTCGGGACTGTTGAATAATCAATTTTATAAACTCTGGTCGCAAATTTCTTTTGCCAAAATGATCAGAAAAGTTTCATCGATACAAGATGGAAGCTGCACCTGTCGGTCGTTAGTTACGAAAATGACCACGCGGTGGCGCCGGCATGTCGCGGCGAAACCGTGACCAGGCAGCCGACGGTGTCGCACGACGCCGAGTCGAGTATTTGTCAATATCTGCTCGCGTTCGGGATTTTCGGCGTTCTGCGTGGCCGACGCGCGTGCAACAAATTGTCACGAACGTGTAGCGCGTCCTCGTTACGGAACAGCCGTGAGCACGCAGTTTCCGCGTACCGTCGAGTCCACCCGTTCGCGTCTTCCCGGCGAGCACGCACGGATTCTTCCTCTCCTCCGCGCTTGCAGCAAACGGGTGTACCATCGCAAACGAACGCGACGCGACGGCGGGCGTTGCGAACCTGGCCGAGCGTGAGCGGAGTTCGGGAGTGCGCGTAACAGTAGTAGTAAGTAGTAGTGGTAGTGCGATACCTGTGTACGTTCGTTCACGCGAGTGACAATATCCCCGCCGATCGGGGGCGGATCGCGACACGCAGCAGTGACGTATCTCACGGATAATACGTGCAGAACAGCGGCCGGGGACGGCGCGATATCTACATCCAGCCACGGAGCGTCCTCCTGCCCACGAATGCGGTTCGCGGTCGGATATTAAGATGTGAGTACGCATGCAATACATTCCATCAGGTCTCTTTCTCGGCGCGAACGAGCCGAATCGCGAGCGAATCATGGCGAGCGACGGTTCTACGAGAGAGAAAGGGTTTCATCGACGGCCGTCGCGCGGCTCGCGCCGCGACCTCGTCTGCGGTATTGTTATAAACACGGACCGGTTCGCTGTACACTACATGCCTCTCTGCATGCATGTGTGTGTATGCACTTTGTGAATGTATATGCATACAGGGTGTTCGAAAATTAACGAATGCACGCATAAAGTTTTTCCTCGTGAAACGCTGGAATTCTTCTTTCATAAAAATTTATCAACTTCATAAATTTTAACACTCGTTATCATTGTACCAGATGTAAAATAAAAATCTCGTGAAAACGGGGTCCTGTTGTGCATAGCGAATGATATTCTGTTATTAGTTTTTGATTCCGAAGTTTACTGCGGGAAAGAATTCTTTATTTTCAACAGCTGATAGCTGCTCCAAAACTCAACGTTCCGACATTTTCGCGAATAAAAAGTCGACTTGAAGTTTCAGTTGCGACTTTAAAGAAAGGAATCTGCGTGTCCACTTTTCGCTAATCTTCGGACACCCCGTATACGACGTCGTCTACACTCGCGCATGCATACGTATCGGTGTGAGTCAGCTTGCCGTTGCTCCATTCGTGTGGTCATCACACATGTGTTCTCTCTTTCTCTTCTTCTTTCTCTTCTGCTCTATTGCCCTGTGTCTTTCTCTAACATTTAAAGGAATATACATGACAGGTACGTGCGCGCGGAACCGGTCGGCCGACACTTTGGACGCCACTTTTTGCAAAGGGCCGATCTATTTTCCCCCTTCCTCTTCTCCTCTTATTATTTCTATCTTCATCCCGCTGTATCCTTTATCTTCCTATCGTGTCTTCTGGTCCAGTCGCAATTTGTTCTCTTGGGAAGGTATAAAAAATATACAATTGCACTAAAATATGAGAAATAAGAGAATAAGATATAAGACGAGAACTCAATCGCAAAATCGATATCATTGAAGAATAAAACAGGTGAATAATGATATAGATTCTATAAATTATTGCGCTGTTCTTATTTGATATTAGCAATCTTTATTCATTTCCTGAATGATGCGATTAAACTAAATCGATCTTTAACTATCTCGCAATCATTTCTAAATTGAGTTCGAACACGAGGGAATTAATATGATGAATTAATACAATATTCCACACAATGAATATGGCTCATTTTACATTATTACCATTATAACTATCATTATTATTGAATTATCAAATTTGATACGTGATAGATTATTTATTTCTACATTTATTTTAACATTAACTCAATATTTGAATTTAAAATAGCACTGTATTTATAAGAAATGAGTCTTAAGAAAATAATATATCTGTTACATAGTCAGAATAATTTATTAACATATAAATATTATGTTTATAAATTATAATATTAACTCTCAAAACTCTAATACGATTTTTAAGTTAAATTTTAATATCTATCACATAATTTATTCAACGTTTTGAAAAAGTGAAAGACAGATGCATAAATGCATCAAATCTATTTGATTGAATTTGATCGATTTGGGCTTAGATCCTTGACACGAACCAAAATTAAGCACGATTCACACGGGAACACATTTTTAACCGTAGTACGCAGTAGAGTAGAATCCTCGATTCTTAGTCCTTATCGTCGGACCACCCTGGACGAGTATGTATCTCGAACGTTGCGTCTCTACCTGTCGACGTATAAGGCGCGCAGTGTCTGAAGGGATACAAAACTGAAGGTGGACGGTCATTGGCCGAGAGAGAAACGACCTGAGTCAAGAAAGAGCGAGACAGAGGGGAAAGAGATGGGGAAAAGAGAAAGATGGGGAGAGAACGAGAGAACTGTTTTACGATGGAGTTAAGTTCTGCCAATTCTGTCTTTGTGAGCCTTTTCAGAGAAGTGGAAAACCAGGAATGATTACGTTCGAGTATATGTTGTTCACTTTATATTTTATGATTATGAGCATGATTTATATGAAAGTTTAGACACAAGATTTGAACATTTTGTATGTTCTAACTGCTCTTGAACAATTCAAAGCAAAAAAATCAGCGTCAATCAAGTGACAACCTGAAATTTATTTAGTTACAATTAATGCAATATATAATTGTGTATCGTTATGTAATATATGACGTGGCGAATAAGAATTTGTAGTCGCGAGTAAAAGGTAAAAGAAACAAAGAGCTCGCGGTAAATCAATTCACGTAATCGTTGCACATTACTTTACAATATTATTACGTAAGCATACGTGCACGTTTCGTTATATTATATCGTAGGTGCGATAAGAAAATTGCATGCAAGCGCTCGGGGTCAGTCTGACCCCTGAAATGCTTCCTACAGTTAAATCGCATTCACTCACACTGACTTCGTGAAATATCCGTGCTTGCACTACGGGCAGACTGTTTAACTTTGGCAAACTGTAATGCAAACTCTTTAATATGAACGAGACGTTCGAACGCAAACTGTTCTCGAATAGCAAGGTAGCATCGATTTCAGAGTATGCACGTCTGTACAGCAAACAGTTCGCTAGTTTTATCTTATCTTTATTTTACAGTTTTGCCTAGTAAAAATAGTAGTGTTCATGTATTTTAAAAAATCGCGCAAGAGCACTATAAATTCTTCTTATTCTTAATTTTCCATATTATATCGCATTATTGAGAAAAATCTGAAAAAATCAAAACATTTAACGTTATATAACTTTTTTTGTAGTTATTACGCAGGCAATAACCTTTTTATATGGTAATATATATATTTTTAAATTATTCGGCTTTAAATTCAATCATTTTATGCTTAATGGAGGAATAATGTAAGTAAAAATGACTAATGAATAAAACATGCTGCTTCTCCAGTGCAGCGCACGCGAATGTGGATTCATCATC